TAAAATAAAATAAAAACAGTGCACATTTCATTTATCTATTATAACATGTATGTAGTTTTGTTCGCTTGGCTGTTTCCTTATAAAAGTCCAAAAATCTGTCAAGTTTTTCATCAGGTGTCTTCTTTAATTATATGATGTCATTACATTGCTGTTCTGCCGCAGCCAATCGCTGCACTGCTGATCGTGGTTTTGGGCCACACTAGTAGGAAGCATTTGAGCTGTGTTTATGATAAATGTGTATAACAGTGACTGTAAAATATTTATTTTAGGGATGGAAAAGAATACATGTTATTCATTATGTATATAAGACATTTTTATATTTGGGACATGGTAATTGCGCTAGTTTGGGCTGTTTTTTTATTACTGGCATGGGCTTGGGATGCACAATTAAAATGATGTAATCGTTGTGGTCATTATTTTACCTTCCATGATCATTCAGAAACGATCAGGTACCGACACTCTGTCAAGTCTGCATCAAATCAAATTAAATGAATTGCTAATTACTACATTGAAATAAAAATGTAAAGCCTGTACAAATATTAGAAATCGTGAATATAAATAATTGGGAATCATGTAAAAAAATTAAATAAAATTAAAACAGTGCACATTTCATTAATTTCTATACCCACTGTATGTCTTAAATGCCTAAAGGGACGGGTTCGGCTAGAAATGTTCAAAAGGAGCAAACAGGAAGAAATAGATTTTTACATATAAATAACATTTATCTCAAGTTGATCTTTTTAAGACTCTTAACCTGAAACGGCCTGTGTTTGATGTAGTCACTAGTGAGGAGTTTGAGCGTTCATGTGATGCCATCAACCGGTCAGTGTTACGAGACTATTCCCCTGTGATTAGTCGTGTCATGTATGAAACACAAGCATGAATCCGGTGAGAGCGGCAGGTTTGTGTGGTCCGTACAGGTGTTCTCCGGGTGTTTCTGATCGGTGTAGTTGAACACCTGTAGGATCTTGGATCATGTTTGTATTCTCTGTCTCTGTAGATTTGGGCCTGTTCTCCACGAAGACACTAGTAGAGGCAAACCCGGAGCACCTGGTGGAGGTGCGGACGCAGCTGTGTCAGCCGGCCGATGAGAACTGGGACGCCAGCGGTCTGAAGAAGCAGTGGCGCTGCGAGAGCATCCGCTCCTACACCACCATCTCCACATACGCACAGTACCAGGCCTCGTCCTTCCAGGAGTCGCTGCGGGTGAGACGCACGCACACAGATCGCAGCTCATTAGCGTTAGCGCAGTGATCGGTTACGTGTGGCATTTTGCATATCAAGCGTCCGTGTTTGTGCGCTTTCAGGAAGAGCATGAGAAGAAGGGCCAGAAAGAGCTGTCAGACTCTGAAGTGACGTCATCAGAAACGTGAGTGTCACGCGACTAACAGCTTTAGCTGCGCTGACGTAAACCTGCGCTTACTCTCTCCTGTCTGCTCAGTGTTTCCAGGAGGCGGAAAGGTCCTTTCAGACAAGTCAAGTTTGGGACGAACATTGACGTCTCTGATGAAAAGAAGTGAGTTTTCAAGTGGTTTCCTTCATTGCACTTTGTGTATATTGTGAAAAGTCGAGTGTTTGACTTCAAACTGAGAACTAATGACAAAGCCAGTTTTTGAGTTTAACGTGTCTCTGAATGCAGTTTAAGAGGCTGTGAGAATAACAGCTGCTGTAGTTAGTGAGGGAAGAGTCCAGTGCGGTCACACTAGTACATCTGCAGCTCAGTGTGATGCGAGTCTGCTAGTTAAATGAAGCCAAAGGCGGGTTGTTGACTGTGCTGCCCCCTGCAGGTGGAAGCTGCAGCTGCAGGAACTCTGTAAGCTGCCTGCGTTTGCGCGTGTGGTGTCTGCTGGGAACCTGCTGAGTCACGTGGGGCACAGCATTCTGGGTATGAACACGGTCCAGCTCTTCATGAAAGTCCCAGGCAGCAGAACTCCAGGTGAGACGCTGCTGTTATCGTGACGCTTCAGAAGCGCAGTGAAACCAGTCTGTCGCAGCAGGTCACGTGATCTCTCTGTTCGTGTTCAGGCCATCAGGAGCACAATAACTTCTGCTCCGTCAACATCAACATCGGGCCGGGCGACTGCGAGTGGTTTGCCGTGCCGGAGCCGTACTGGGGCGTGATGAGCGAGTTCTGTGAGAAGTACGTGACTTCAGAGCTGTATGGCTCTCGTGAACATTTCATTAAATCATAAATCGCTTCTGTTGATAATAAGCAAGTGTCTCTTTTACAGGAACAACATCAACTTCCTGAAGGGCTCGTGGTGGCCGAATCTGGAGGATCTGTTCGAGGCTAACGTGCCGGTGTACCGCTTCATCCAGCGGCCTGGAGATCTGGTGTGGCTGAACACGGGGACGGTGCACTGGGGTCAGGCCATCGGCTGGTGCAATAACATCTCGTGGAGCGTGGGCCCTCTGACCGGTGCGCAGATGTTCAGCCTGGCTCTCTGCATGTTTCTGGCTTGTTGTGTGATTGTCGTGTTTGTCTGTTTCCTGCAGCGTATCAGTACAAGCTGGCCGTCGAACGTTACGAGTGGAACAAACTCCAGAGCGTCAAATCTATGGTTCCCATGGTGCATCTGTCCTGGAACATGGCGAGGAACATTAAAGTGTCCGACCACAAGCTGTTTGAGATGATCAAGTGAGTGTGACGTTTTCTCGATCACTTTGTCTCAGCTCCTCTGATGATCTGGATCGAATGGTAAAACGTCTGTGGTTCACAGGTTCTGTCTGCTGCGGACGCTCAAGCAGTGTCAGACGATTAAAGAGGCGCTGGTGTCTGCTGGGAAGGAGACCGTCTGGCACAGAAGAAGCCGAGATGAGCCGGCTCATTACTGCAGCATCTGTGAGGTGAGTGCTGGACTCTACAGCAGAATAACTGTCCGCGCTCATCTGAGTCACGCTCCTGTGCTGCTGTGTTGCAGGTGGAGGTGTTTAACCTGCTCTTTGTGACGAGCCACAGTTACTCCAGGAAGTCCTGCGTGGTTCAGTGTCAGGATTGCGCTCGGAAGGCCAGCAGTGAGCTCGACGGTTTCGTGGTGCTGCAGCAGTTCAGGATGGAGGACCTCGTGCAGGTTTACGACCAGTTCTCATTAGTAAGTCGCTTTATTTGACTGAATATGACGTTTATGTTCCAGCGTGTGTCCTTTTGTTCGTACAGCAGATTAACTAGTGATGGTTCAAGGAGCGTTGCAGGTTTAGTCACGGTTTGTATTAGTTTGAATTGAGACGGCTTCTGTGTGTGAATCATGAAGTGAGCAGAATGAATAACGCTCGGCGCTCACCTTGTGTTTTGTAGGCTCCTGCTCTGCATTCGTCTTCATCTTGACATTAAGACGCTGTACATGTGGAGAATATCGCATTACAGGAACTCTCTAAACGGACCATTTCTGATATTCAGGACCGTGGCGCTCGTCTCTCGCGTGGCTGGGGACCATCGGAGAGCACGGGACCGTCGGCTCAAGTGGCTGTGTGTGTCTATGCAACCTGTTTATAAACTGCAGCGTGTGACTGTGGCCTGCGGGGGGCGCTAGTGAGGAACTTCCCCTCTACACACCTCTTCCTGAACGGGCCGCTCGCCTCTGCTTCACGTGAGAAATTAATCACAAAAACTGTGGAGGAATTTATGGGAAACTGGTTTTGTACATATTGTCTGTCACAACTGGCATCGTCACTTACAGACTACTGACTTTGAGACGTTCTTTTTGTATTTTGTTAACATGCTGAAACCTGAAATCTCTTTCCTCGTGTCTCAAGGGTTCGCCTTCACGGAGCGCTAGCCTAGCTTTTTGTACGGTAGATAGCGATTTTACAACGACTTTGGATGGCAAAATCTACAAAAAAAATAAAAATATTTGTAATGTGAAAAATTAGGTGATATATAATTTTTTACTGCTTTTATGTTTTACCTGTCTTGTTATTTTGACACCATGTTGGATATTTTGTTTCTTAGGTAAGAAAAAGGAAAAAAATTGTGGAAAAAAACAACAGCCAAGTCACAAAGAAAAATGGGTTGCACATAGAGTAAGGAATAAATGGTCTGTTTTTTGTTTTTTTCCTTCCTTGTTTGTTTCTAATCCTGATGTACATTTACACTATTTATAAATACATATTTATTGCTTGAAGATATTTGTGGATGGAATGCTGTTATTTTTCCCAGAGTACCTGCCATTAAATTTGAAGGAGTTTGGTCATTTAAACTACTCCTGCATTTTTCTATATAGAATTAAACTGCTTAGTAAGCATTGTACAGAAACTATAAAATTGTTTTATTGTTTGAAGAATGTTTTATGAGTTATTAAACAAGTTGTCAACATATGTGCCGACACGTGGAGATCCTTCTCTTGGCCTCCTCTGAAATCTGTATGATTTTGTATACAGTGACAATTGTCAAGCGAGTGTTTTGATGTTTTATGAGTTATTAAACAAGTTGTCAACATTTTCATGCACTTGTATTGAATATGTGACGAAACGTGAAAATCCTTCTCTTAGCCTCTTCTTAAATCTTTATGAAAACATTATTGTTCACAATGATGCATATTGTTTGACCGCACATTTACTGTTTCTGTACATGGATTGTATAACATTGAATGTTTTTTCACACACACACTCACTCTCATTCACTCACTCTCACACACACACACTCACTCTCTCACACACACACACACACTCTCATTCACTCTCTCTCTCTCACACACTCTCTCACACACTCTCATTCGCTCACTCTCACACACACACACAAACACATTCACTCTCTCTCACACACACTCATTTACTCACTCTCTCACACTCATTTACTCACTCTCTCACACTCATTCACTCACTCTCACACTCATTTACTCACTCACTCTCTCACACACTCATTCACTCACTCTCACACACACACACACACACTCATTCACTCTCTCATTCACTCACACTCTCACATTCACTCACTCGCGCTCTCAGACACACACACACACACTTCCTCTCATTCTCTCACACACTCACTCTCTCACACACACACTCTCTCTCATTCTCACACACACTCTCTCACTCTCATTCACTCACTCTCTCACACTCACTCTCATTCACTCACTCTCTCACACTCACTCTCTCACACTCACTCTCTCGTTCACTCACTCTCACACACTCACTTGCTCTCTTTCACACTCTCACACACACACTCTCTCATTCACTCACACACACACTCTCACTCTCACACACTCACACTCACTCTCTCATTCACGCACTCTCTCACACACTCTCATTCACTCTCTCACACTCACTCGCTCTCTCACACACACACACACACACACTCATTCACTCACTCTCTCACACTCACTCCCATTCACTCTCTCACACACACTCTCACATTCACTCCCTCTCTCTCTCTCTCACAC